ACATGCAGAGGACACATCTGTCCTCAGAGATGCAGAGGACACATCTGTCCTCAGAGCTGCAGAGGACAGACCTTTGGTCTTGGGTTTTGTTTGTTGTCTCTTTTCTGATCAGCAGAAAGTCTGAGTGAGACAGATATTGGACCTGGTCAGGTTTCAGGTTTAAGACCGTCTTCTGGTCTCAGACTTGAGTCTTTGTGAGCTTCAGTCCAGGTTCTGCCGGGTCATGTGTTTGAGGTCGTAGAACAGAACCGGATCATCAGAACCAGTGGTGTGGACTTGAGTCACATGACTTGGACTGGAGTCAGACTCGAGTCGTTAATATCATGACTTTGGACTTGGCTTGAAAGACTGTTCAGAGACTTGTGACCTGACTTGGACCCGTTTACTTGAACAGACTTGATATTTTACTCAGTTTGAAAACACAATGAAGTTAGTTCCAGGTTGGATCTTGGAGCTCCGTGGATTCAGGGGGTCTTCGTCTCGTTCGATGCGATGCAGGCGGCCTGGTTTCAGCCTGTCCCTCCTCAGAGGCTCGGTGCTTCATTTAGGGACCGTCAGTAAATTACTGAACCAAACATTCTTGAGAAAAACAACTAGAGCTTTCATGTCACGTGACCCACCGACACAAAACAGTCCAGCACTGCAGCTGAGTCTCTACCTGGACACTGCTGATGGACAGAACTTGTTCTGGACAGTGACCATGCAGACGTCCTTCAGTCTCATGAGGCCACCAGAGCTGTGGCGGTGCCTGCAGGTATCGCTGCAGGGGAGCCAGTTGGCAGCTCGCTCTGCGGCCTCATCGTGCACAAATCACTGACAGACTTTAGTCCAGTCTGGTCTTTCACAGATGCAGAATAAGTGCAAGAAGTTCAGGTGCACAGATCACGTATTTGTTTTGTTCGTCTCTGTCACACATGGACACAAACAGACGTGTTCACTGAGGGACCGGAGGACATTTACTGACATGGTTCTGTGTGATGCACTGAGGAAATGTCCGCCCCGTTTGTCTGAACATGGAGTTCTGCGTTTGTCACAGAGTTCTGGAACATCAGTTTAAGGACGGCTCTTCTTGCAGCCAAGTTTAATTGAGCTGTGTCATGTAAAGGTGCAGCTTCAGAACGACACTTTGTCAGTTCAGCTGCGTTTCATCACCACTCGAGGTAAATACAGATTTAAAAAAGAACTCACCGTCTCTTATTTACGTTGAACATGAACATTGTTGAGGACAAACCTGGAGACACATGAACGACTTGGTCTCTCATCTGATCACAACATCCAGTTCCGTTCACCTCCTTTAATGAGACCAGCTGCAATGCATCATGGGAATCATGGACGGAACCGGGTCATGAAACTGTGCTGACCAGACCCATCTGACACCTTGGCCCGGTCAGCGCCTCGTCTTCGGCTCCCAGTGGATGCTGGGAGAGGGATCAGGACTAGACCTGGGATCAGGGTCTTGTTTAAATCCCTGTAAAGACCAGTGCAGCTCTTCCTGCCTGACTCAGAACCTCAGAGAGATCCAAGCGGACCGGAGTCCTGCAGAGTGTGAGTTCTGTTAAAGGTCAATGTGAAGTGGACCGAGCACACCTGTCCTGTTCACTGATCAACAGGTGCAGTGGATGTGTGACCTTTGACCTTTGCTCTGGGTTTTCAACAGGATGAAGACATTCAGATGGGCCGGTTCTGGTTCTGATAATACTGCTGCTTCTGTTTCACTCTTCAGTTTGTTTGCTCTTCAGAGGAGACTCACGTCAGGCTGTTTTCTTTACCTTGAATTTATCAACGAGCGGAACGTGCTTTTATTGTGACAGTCTGCATCCTCACTTCCGTGACCGCGGCGGAAGCGGCCCGTTTCAGTCCGGACTGGGTGGACTGGGTGGACTGGGTCAGTACAGCAGCTGGACGTTCGGCGGACATGGCGGGTCGGGACAGGGTCGTTAACCTGCTCAGGCAGCTCGAGCGCGCAGCGTAAGTTCGGTTCGGTTCGGAAAAGTGTTCGAGCTTCAAGAACCTGCAGCTTCACCGAACTGCTTTGGAAATCCAGAAAGTTCTGGTTCTAGTCTGAACTCGGCTCTTTTTGGAGAAATGACTGCAGGGAGCAGTGTATATATATATATATATATAT